GATGCTACTTCTAAAAGACAGTGAAGAGATGCTGTTTTGCAATTTTGTAAAATTAAACGGTCAGTCTTTTCATTGCAGATTTAAAAAGAGTAAGTGAACTAAAAAAAAAAAAAGATTGCTGTAAAAGAAATACAATAATGTCTAAGACCGGCACTTAATGACAGCTATTATCCAAGCATTGTATGAAATATTGCACCTTAAATAAAGCGTTACCTAACACATCCTAACATCATGCACTGAGAAGCTCATGCTGTGTTTGATGGCACCCAAATCCATAAGTGTTGTGTTCTATTACTGAAGCTAGAGAGCTGGGGGACACAGTGGGGGGCGGGAGGGGGGTGTTAATGGGAGTCAGGTCAGATTGGGATAAGAGAAAATAAAAAAAAATGACAGTTTGTTTACATATGAAGTGATTGTTAGCCGATCAGCCTGAGTACAAATTAGAAATCTGTTAGAAAGCAGTGACTGCGGTGTAGTTAAAAACAGCCGTTACCTCTACGTACATGCGGCCTTATGCTGTTAGGATGGACTTAAGTTTGACCAGTACGCTATGGTTTGCACTGTTGTGCAGGCTCACCTTGCGCTTGTGACGTTCAGGCCTCACAGTATTCTTAAAAGGAGGAATAAGAACACAGACAGAGCTTTACTCGCTTCACTCTACCAGTTCTACCGTCTCCACATGCACCTGTGCTTTAACGCTTGCTCTGCTACAGAGGTGAGCGAGGCGGAGGCCTCACACTGGTGTGCAGAGTCAGGAGGCCATCTGTTGACATGCCCTGTGACGACTTGATCACATGCTGCAGCTTTGAAGACCAGAACACCTTAGAGCACATCGTCTCCATGAGACTGCAGCCGCTCGGAGTCCTGACCCAGACGGACTAGCACGCTGACGAAAACACCTCCACATCAGAAGGATCTTTTTGGACTTTTATCTGTGACACCAATGAGCGCGGGAGAGGTCGGCTGCTGTAGCACGAGCAGCAGTCCAATACTGTACTGTTAATTGTAGTAGTCTGGTCAACATGTGACCCACATAGATGGTGAAGCGCCCCAGGCTGCTGTACCAGCCTACTTTTCTATATCAGCCACAACTGGACAGAGTTGGACCATGTACACACACTTGACTGTAGACGGTAGCAGACGTCAAATTAAATAAATCAAAAAGTTATTATTGCACTTACATGTCTAACTAAATATATTCCTCAGAAGAGACCCACGACCTATTTAAGATCACTGTGTTTTCTAAAAATTAAAAGGATTAATATGCAGAAATGTCCTGTTTGTGCTTCAGGTCATTTCCACCCTGCAGGGTGCGCTATAAACACATTTATGAGCCAATTTCTTCCTAAATTGAATTGAAAATCACAAACAATTTCCTGCCACGTCACATGGTCACACAAGTGTATTATCAGAGACTGAATCCTGCGACTTTTTTTCTTTACTCTTAAGTACTAAATCGTTTTACTGCCACCTACTGGGCATATTTTCCATAGTGTGTTATTTCTACAACTTCCATCATTTCTCCCAAACCACACTTTGGAGAAAAAGAGAAAACACACGCAGAGGGCATTGCTGCAGATGAACTCGTCACCATACACTTCTAGTGGCAAATGAAAATGACAACATCTAATAGTGTGGATTTTTGGGCTGAGTTTTTAAGACACTTCCTTCATAAGGGACATTTAAATATGTCTGATTTATGGTCTGTCAGCCTGACTTAACATAACTAATAAATCAGAGGAGTTTTAATTAACTTTTGAGGCAGGAAGCACACGTTGTTCTTCTGTCCTTTTGTTCTTTTACTGTAGTGATTGTATAAGTCCGCAAAAATGTTAATACAAAATATTCAATGTTCTAATAAAAAACTTGAACTGAATTAGGAATCAACGCTGACTTTTTCTTACCAACGTGGACAACAGGTGAACAGTTCAGACAGGTGTTTATTATTATTATTATTATTATTATTATTATTATTATTATTATTATTATTATTATTATTATTATTATTATTATTATTATTATTATTATTATTATTATTATTATTATTATTATTATTATTATTATTGATCCCGTGTCTTGTGTTCTGGATCACACTGTTGAATCAACAATTTTTCTTTGTTCATAAGTTTGCTCCATCACTAATGTCTGTGCTGTGTTTGAGTGAAAACAACTGGACCAGAGGACAAGAGGACAAGGGGACAGCCGGACAGTCCTACCTTGGTTTCAGGCTGGCTGGCATTCGCCGTCGGGGATTTTGGAGTCTCATCCTGCTCCCTTTCTTCCTCTTTAGCCCCACTTTCGTCCTGGATGGTGTTGGCCGGTGGAATCATTCTCTCTCTCTTTTTATCCGCGATCACTGAAGAAAACAGTTGAAGAGTTCCTCTCCTCTCCTCTGCGCCAGCTGTTTACATGGTTCTGTTCCTCTGTAGTCACCGTGACCCGCGGGCAAGTGAAAGCAGACAAGTCATCCAGACGCGCTGCTGTTTTTACTGATGATGATGTGAGAAAACGAACCTGAGAGTCTCAGGGTCTCAGAGTCTCAGAGTCTCGTGTGAGAAAACGAACCTGAGAGTCTCAGAGTCTCAGAGTCTCAGCGGACCGCTGTCCAGGATCTGCAGTTAGATCTGAGTCCAGTTCTCCTCTGAAGTCTCCTGTCCTGACAGAAGCTGTGTCCGTGTCGTCGTGCGTAATCCCAGCAGCCAAGGCATCTCCAAATCCACGCCGTGTGCGCCGTGCGCCTCCGCTGCCAATAAAGTGATGGGCGGGGAGACAGAGGGAGGGAGGGAGGATGGGGAAGGAGGAGATAGTTGTGACGTCGGAAATCGCACATGGTCGAAACAATGTGCCAGTGATTGTCACATAAAAATACTTTAAAGGGAAAAACAGAGATAAATCCAACGCGGCTAAATTTGAACGTGTCTTGTTCTCCGAACAAATCCACTTTAGGACATTTCTGGAAGCAGGTTTTTATAGGCAGGGCACAGGCTTTTTTAAATGTGGAGATACTGTATGACTGTAATAAAGTTCTATGATATATTTTTTCTATTCATTTTTTGTATTCCTCATCGGAGTCTAATGTTAATGTCTCTGTCTCCTTCAGAGAATTCTTCTGTCTTTCAGACCAGGTCACGACCTGTTTCTTCGTCCGGTCTTAAGACTGAAATGTAGCTCCTTTCAAATGTTATTTCAGTTCTGGAAACAGAAAAGAAGATCTGAGGGATCTACACCAAAACCTGTTGCTAAGCTTTAATATTTTAACCAGTTCTGTTAAATGTTGAAGGTTCTGCTCAGATTATTAAACTGGAGAGACAGAGACTTTTCAGACTGGAGCAGGTTCAGAAAACATGTTTTCTTTTTTAAATGAATGAGTTTTAAAGATGCTTATGTAAGTGTGTGTGTGTGTGTGTGTGTGTGTGTGATCTGTAGACGCAGCCATGTCTGCCACCTGTTTCCAGTCGTTGTGCTAAGTGGCAAAAGCAGCAGGTCCAGTGATGCTGTTCCCTCCACGTCCCGCCCGACTTAGGTTAGACGACCGAAGCGTCCGCCCACAAACAAACAACACCTTCGTAAAACTTGGCACATTCCAGTGCCATTATTTAGGAATCACACAACAGTGGGCCAGACCTGAACATTCCCAGAGACACCTCAGCATCACCCACCTCAGACGGGATAGGTGTGATGTCTGCTGGAGTCGTTCATCACACCGCGTCCCTCCGGGCTGCCCTGTGACGTGATGTCCTTGAAGCTATATTGCGGGACGACAGAGGGAGGCAGGCACCAGACTGCAGTCTCCACACTCTGACAGGAATGCAAACTCCCACACAGTCCCAAAGAATGGCTGTGAACATCGAGCTGAGTCTCCGTGTTAGAGCTCAGATAGGGGTTTCCTCTCTGTAAATGAATCTGCACCTTCTGAAATGAGAAAAAGGGTTTTAGATCGACAAGAGAACAACAGTAATTCTCCTTGGGGAGACTATTGATCACTTGGTGAATGGATACACTCACTCGTCAAAAGGCAGCAGCTGATTGGTAACCATTGAGAGGGTAAAGATGTGGCGCCGGTTAAAGAATCAAAGGAAATGGTCTAATTTTGGATCATTCTGAGCTCAAATGAAAAACTTTTACTTTCATTATTGTTTTTGTTTTTTTCCAAAAAGAAAGGAGATTTATGGTGTAATTGGTTGGACTGACATTACACTGAAGATGTAACACAATCCATTGACAATTTATACTGAACAAAGCAGGATTCATTTTGATAGTTTGGAAGATTAGAAAACAATATATTTTTTTAAATTAGCAGTTAGCCAAACACAGTAAAGTAAAAGCAAAAATAAAAGCAAAAAAAATAGCCACACACAGCAAAAAGAAAAGGGAGCCCAAGCTAATTGAGAAAAAGCTAAGCAATAGCCTAAAAAGGATAAAACATTTCCTGAAAGACATTAAATAAAAAATCATTTAAGGTTAGTCTGTTGAAAAGCCAAAATCAGCATAAAGACTGGTAAAAGTTAACCAGAAAAAACATAGCCGCTCACCAAAAGGAAGCCTTTTTATTCCAAAAGTAATCTAAACACAGCCAGTACAGAGCTAACAAGTTAGCAAAACATTAGCTAGCCCAACTGATGATCATTTAGTGAGACAAAATGTGACAGACTACAGCAAATGTAGCTGTAATTTCACCAAAGATATCGATTTTTTTTTCTTTTCAAAATACCAAAAGGAGCCAACTTAGATGTAATTTTTTTTTATAAATATAGTTTTCATTAAATAAAAACAAATCAACACTAAAATGATTTTGCATGTGTTAAACTGAAAAAAATTGGTGTGCTGGGTTGAATATGAAAAAAACAAAACAAAAACAAAGCGCACATATACCATAACCATAACAAATCAGTATTGGATCGAAGGGATGTCATATAGAAAGCATAAACAACTTGTTATTGATCTGAGACATTAACAGTGATGTGTTCTTCGTTCCCTGTTCTTCCCATTGAATTAGTCTTTACAACTGAGTGAATTACATTTTTATAAATGTCTTTAAATGCCATCAGTTCCCTACAGCACATAAGAAGAGCATGGTAGACCAGAGGAGACCATATCTGGGGTTTGGCAGTGTGTGAGTGTGTGTGTGTGAGTGTGTGAATCACGTCAGCAGAAAAAAAAATCCAAATGTGTGACCAGTTGTGCAAAGGAAGCGAGAACGGAGTGAGTGTGAAAGACGGCGAACATTATCATTTCCTCTGCTTCCAGAGGCAGTGATGAAAGACGGAAGAACCTAAAAGTAATGAGGAAGGAGATGTTTTATTCTAGTTTTTACATCTTAATGTCACTTAAACCAAAATAAACATCACAGATTGGCCGTAACCTACACTGATGTATGAACACATTCCAATTCCAGGGAAAATAGTTAAAGATGGATTTCAACAGTGTTCTTGTCTCCATGCCAACATTCCAATAAGGTTTTTGGTCAAACTTACCAGAAACGGTTGTGTTTTTTTTTTTTTTTTTTGGTGGACAGTGGACATTTCTCAGAAAACTCATTTTCTCAGATAAATACACGGACATCTGGTTTGAATCAACAGCAAATTAAAATCATGATCTGAACAACACTAAACGATTGTTTATATAATGTTTAGAAAGGAGAAAAAAAGGATTGTTCAATAAAGCAGCAGGTCAGGTGGAAATGTCACAGTGATATCAGAGTATTTATTCTCAACAATTAACGTCTACATGAACAAACTTCACACGTGCGTCACAGATATGTCAGAAACGTGTGTGTGGTTGGCTATGTTACCATTGTGCCTGTTAGCTTATAAGCTATTTGCAGGTTGCTCCCGCAGTTTTAATTGGTTGTTGTACTCATTCAGTCACTGCATATTTAATGATTTCACAGAAGAAGGTGTTACTGCATTAAATTGGAGTAAACGATATTGTCACTGTTACTAATTTCAGACTGTTGAACATGAGAAGATCTCCGTGTGTCTGAGCTGTTTCTGTTCAAACTGGATGGATCTCTAAAATTGATTATACTTCATGTAGGAGAACTAAGCCAAGTTAGTCATTAACATCTGGCTCTGGTTCTGATCAGATTTTATGAGTTCCACTGAAATGCATAGTGTTTATGGCAGGACAGAATGGGTCCAGCAGAGATAATAAATGATCTGCATTTAAGTTCTGGCAGGAGATACGCAGCAGCCATCGTATCACGTTTTAATTTCAGTATAGTATAGTACAGTATGTAGTACAGTATAGTACAATAAACTATGGCATAGCTTAGCATAATGTGGTGCAGTGCAGTCGCTTGGTGTAGTTCAGTATAGTTAGTATAGTTTAGGGTGGCGTAGTGTAGTGTGGTGTAATGAAGCATAGCATGGCATAGTATAGTATAGTATAGTATAGCATAGCAATAGCATAGCATAGCATGTATAGTATAGTATAGTATAGTATAGTATAGTATAGTATAGTATAGTATAGTATAGTATAGTATAGTATAGTATAGTATAGTATAGTATAGTATAGTATAGTATAGTATAGTATAGTATAGCAAAGCATAGTATAATATAGTATAGTATAGTACAGTACAGTACAGTACAGTATAGCATATAGTAGTAGTATAGTAACATATAGTTTTTCTAATGTTTATCTAGTGACTGATCACAGCCTGCTGTCATTTATGTCCTTGCTCCGTTCACTGCGGCTGAAGAACCATAAGGTTTATTCAAACAACTTTTTTTTCTCCACGCTGTCACACTGACACGTGCCAAACTCAACACTGTTCCTCTTTCCTCTGATTTTTTTCCCATCCTGCAGCTACTCTGGGAGAATACACATGGCAGCCAGTTATTCTTGGACCATCTACATATGGTGTTTCACATCACTTAATCCTGACAGGAAGATGTGATCAGTGTTAAAGCCTTTCATCAGTGCGATCGCATTCAGTGAAGCTGAAGTCACAGGCTGACAGAACCAACGTATGCTGTGTTATAGATACATCTGACAGTCATCTGTCAATTGTTGAACACCACGGTAAGAACACATTGATGGTAAATGTGTCATGTACACAGAGAAGTAATATTATTGGATTTACGTCTAATATTTATTTAATCCATTAATATACCAAAAGAAATAATAATGTAACACACACACACACACACACACGCACACACACACATACATACGCTGTAGGTCCCAGCATGTGTTAAACTAATTGGCAAATTGATTCCCTTAGAACCAGAGCTAATTAGCTCATGTTAGTATGAGAATATTGGAATATTCACTGCAGGGAATATGTCAAGATATACTACAGTACAGGTACACGTTATAGTTTCTCAGTGAATGTCTGTCAGTTATAACCTCATAAACCTTACCACAAAAAACAAAATATTTGTAAATCTGTGGCATGAATGAAAATAACTTCACTTCATCAAATCAGTAAGTAGAGAAGTAGTGAAGCAGGTTTAAACATTAAAAATTGTCACCATGTCCCATGTTTGGTTTGTAACATTATTTCCAGACGAGTCTCTCCATTTGTTACGGCCTCAACAACCATTGACTAAAATATTCTTTACACTGAGCATCGAGTGGTTTGAGAATCGCTAATATGATGAAAGTATTTGTGTCGTTGCTGCTGCCGATCGTTTCCAAACGGAGAATCCTTCATCCTCTTGATGCAGTGACGCACAGCTGACCTCCTATGACCATGTAACCAGTCTCTAGCCGGTCATTAGTCTTTTTGTGTGCCAATCAAAACTAATGAGATAGCACGGGCTAAAAACAGCAGAGAAGAGCAGCTGATCCTCGGCCTCAGAGCAGGTCAGAACCAAACGATGAAGAATGAACTACTAACTAATAACTAACAAATGTTTATTTCAATTTCTGGTTAGCATAATTAACATATTTTACATTAGAAAAATCCCAACATACACGGCCAAACACAAATTTTACAAAACGTATTTGTTATGAAATATAATGCTTTAGTTTCACGTGATTTTGTGTGAAACCTGGGCCTGTTTAGTTGAACGCAACAAAAATAAACTCAAAGGAATTGAAGTAGGAGATAACGTTCTTCAACAGCTCTCTGTTTTAGTTTTATAGCCATCTACAGCCACCTAGTGGAAGAGTGATTAATTATTCTGCCTGTCACTGAAACATATTATTATTATTATAAATGTTTTTACATTTATTTACGATGCATTTTCTTACTTTTCTGCCTTTATTTTAGGGAACCTGAGGTTTTATCATTTTTATCCGTAGATGACTGTAGAAAACATTATTTCTTGTTTGCTAAAATTATTGCAGCTATCAATCAAACCAGCCATGATGTCCTTTAAAGGTTAGAGTAAAGTACATCCAGTGGT